GAGGGGCAGTCTGACAGAATGGCATCTGACGTGGATCAGTGTATGAAGTACAGGTAAAACCGAATTCATCTATACAGAAGTAATTGCCCCCATTGACATTCATTGATACCTGCTGAATATTTATGAAGACCAAACAGTGGATGTGAGCATCCACATCACAGTGGATGGAAAGTTTCAGCAGCAGAAAAAGCTACATGAAAGATAAGCCACATTCCAGACAGCCAAGCACAACTCTCACAACACAAAATGAAGAGCATTTTGATCAACTCATCCACATGAATCAACTACTGGCACTAATAGAGTTTTATAGCAAGACTTTTATATTAAAAGGTGTTATTGTGCTCTTTATATCTGTTGTAGTTTCTATGGAAATAAAAAGGAGGCATTACTTCTAGGACTTACACGGCTTTACAATGGTAACAACCTATGTGGACTAAATGAAGCTACACTGTAACATCAAAGAAATACATAGATCCATAGCTGCAACAGAGAAAGCGCAAGATGTTTCAATTTTGACCTATTCCTTATAAGTACTGCAGACTTCAAAAGAATTACTCTGCATCCTTTAAAATACAGACCCAGTGTCCTAGCAAACCTTTCTCTGCTGAAGGGCAGCTAAAAGTTACCTTAGAAAGGCAACACATCCAACTCTCCATATTTATTAAATTACAGGCACTAGAGGGTGACTTCAGAGCTTGGCAGGAGTGCACCTCTAGAGCAAAAAATTTCCTAAATATACTTTAGAGCCCCCTAAATCTATTATCTTTCCCACCTTTGCTGGCACGTGAAGTAAGAGAGAAAACAAAGCAGTGTTCCGCAAATACACGAAGTATAATGCATAAGAGCTATTACAGTGATAATGGAAGTTAACTTGTCCTGCAATGTTACACTTAATAAAGTCCCTATGTTAACTCAATTAAGGGACTGTGAAGTAAGAAAAACAAATCAGCACAAAGACAGGAGGTTTAAGCAGCTGATGATTGGGTCAATGCAGACATTCTGGTGAACACCTATGCTGAGATCTTTCCAAGTGGATGAGCATCCACAGGCTCTGTTTGTGTCACCATGCAACTTGTTTGCAGGGTGCTTCCTTCCCTTCTGTCTAATGTACTCAACTACTAAGATCATACTGGTATCACACTAAAAAGCAAGCAGGTCATAGGGAATTTCCATTTTCCCACCTTCAGCATCAGTCTTTATGCTATCAAATTTGTAATTCTGTCTATGATATCATTTTCAATACTGATTTCATAAACCTAACTATTCCATTCTAATTTAACTGCAAATCTAGTCACACTCTGTAATTTTAACTGCCTTCCTTGCTTTCATTTTACATAAAATATATCTTCTTACATTCCCAATTTTCACAGACAAGCAGTGATGTTAGTTACTTGATCCCAAACTCCTGCAAGGCTCAGAAAAGAAACTAGTTTCAAGAGAAATCTAGAAATCTGATGAAGATTTGTAATCTCCATCTTCCATAAGTCAAGGAATTGATAAATTGTATCAGAAAGCAGGGAAAAGCTTAGACTGAAAGACACTGCAAGAGATGATTTACAGTACCAAGAGGTAACTCTCCCCATCAGAGGCAAGACTGACGTGTTGTGAGACTGAGTAAGAATCTATTTTGTCAGATTACAGATGCATGAACTGACAGCTACAAAGAGATTATTATATAAATCTAGAAGGAATCCACCAGCTGCTTCTGATGATAGGTAAATACAAGAATAATATTCTGACAAGTAAGAGTAATGGAACTATAGCAGTAACACCAACCTAATTTCCCCCAAACTGACACAGATTAAACAAGCAACAAACTATCAGAACAAAGGATTAGCTCACATTAGAAAATGCTCTGCTCCTGTAAGAGCAGAGCTCTGCTTTCACTCTAGTCCATTGCTAATTGCATGTTGTAAATACGCACCGTGTAGTTTATGTGGTTGTGCTGGTTGACAAGAAATGCTAACAAGTCAATAATAGGATTTAATTTAAGTAGGCACAGATATGAATCCATTTGGAAGAACAAAGCTGACTCTCCACAACAGTGTTCTGAGATCCTGTTTAAAAAACTGCTCTGAAACAGCTCTCATTTTTAACAGTCAAGAGAATAATAAAATGCTTCATGTGGCAATCCTCAAAGCTAAAGCACAGGCCTGTGTAAATTCCAAGTCTACTGATCAGGTTATACTAAATATTAGCTTGCCTTGAACTCAAACATGTGCTGTAATCAACAACAGCATGCATGCATTTTTAACACACTGATGGTATTACTAGACACAATGCATAAACATTTTATATACATTTGTGAGCAGCCTGACCACCCGAAGAAGCAAAGACCCGTGGACCATGTAGTTGCTCAAGGAGGCAACCACGTGATGCAAGAAGAATAAAATATGCACTGTCAACTCCCACTTTATGCTCAACTAAGACAAAAATCACTGCTTTCTTATCTGGCCATTTCCCTCCCTGAACTGCTTCACCATCTGTCGTAGCTTTCTTCTCCATCACCTCCTACTATCAATGTTATGCCATCCTTCCTCCCTCTCTAGACTTAAGGCAGTTGTTCACTGTAAATAATTTTCTTTTTTAAATTATTTTTAATTAAGTTCACCCTCCCTTGCCTTGTCCACAGTAAACACTACAGAGCATCTGCTATTTGAACACTTCATGTTATCCTATCCACAGTTTGGGCACTGCAGTAGAGCATCATGAACATTTATAGCTCTGTGCACAATTTCTTTGGCTAACAGCAAGGTGTACTGCATGACTGTTTCCTGAAATCTTCTTTATTGTGGCAAAAAAGAAAGCTTCATGCATTGTTAGAATATCACTATTTTTAGGTCATTCAGTATTTGCAAACTTCAACTCGAATAACTTGGTCAGTTCCTAGAACTATCACACTGTTATCACATCTTCAAAAATGTTGCAACTGCTTTTCTAAATAACAAAACAATTCAAAAGGAATCCTACAGACCATATTTGAGTTTTCTTACAAACACTGAGATGAAAACTAAAAACACTGTTTTCCTTAGAACTGTCCTCCATATGACTCCTGAGTAGGACAGGAACAAATGCGGAGGTTATCAACAACTGTTATTTTCTCAGAGTTCACAGTTTTCAGACAGTATATCGTTCAATCACAGACACCTGGAAAGGTCTGAGGTTCTCATACCATGAATCAGTTACAAAAAAAAGTCTCCTTCTATTCAGATGTTTTGAGAAAATGCAGGATGGAAAAAATATGCAAATGCTAATTTGAGTGGTAATTTACATTGTACAAAACTGTGAGCGTTCCATTAGACAAATCAAACCCTGTGTTACAAAACTTGCTAGTAAGTCTGAACCCAAAACAAAAGAATAACATTTTAAGATGTTCTGTTTTCTTTTTAGAAAGAAGTAGGAGTTTCAAATAAAGTGAGTCACCTAATTAAATGACTTTGTAATTCATTAATGATCTGTTTTGCACAAAAACTGAATACAACAATTAAATGCAACCTTTATCCCATACAGGAAATACTGTAACATTTGATTATTTGAAATAAAGTACAGAGTTGCCGAAAATGTGCTAACGACCTCTAAGCTACACAGATGAGTTTGTAGTTAACAGCTTGGTGTCTTTAGAAAATTGTTATGTCAGAAATCTCTTTACCTTTTCTGAGAAATAGGCCTGGCTCTGTACAGACAGCAGAGTATTTTAGCTAAAATTTTTTACAAGTGAAATGCAACTAAAGAGATTTCCCTTCATTGAACAGCTTGTTAATTTGCCATTACTTTCTCTAAAGTATGTAGCAACATATTCACTCTGTTGCTGCATGCATATTAAAGCTTCAGCTTTTGTGCTTCCGTGAAGTGACATGATGTGCATATCTAATCACCTCCCACCTCCACGCTCACTGCCCTGCCTTCACATCCACTGCTTACCCCAAATCCCCACAACACTGTTACATTACCCCTGCTAAATTCATTCTGTGCATTTGTATATGCTCACATTTCTGTATGCTGCTTAAATAGTGAAGGAAAATATCAACACATCAGAAGACATTAGTAACTTCACAGCGTACTCCCAGCAAGAGGCACAGAGTAATGTATGAGATGCATTTTGGAAGAAAATGCAAGCAACACCATTTTGTGTTCATTCTCCCTCCTAACACTGTTAACCCATGGAAAAAAATTCTCATGCACCTCTTCCCTTCCCCATTCATCTCCCTTATCTTCCACAGTGAACGATGGATCTTTGTTTACATGCTCTGTCCTGCCTACTCAACAGCGTCTTTCATTTCTACCACTTCCTTCTCCTTCTTTTTTGATCACTTTTGATACTAACACTGTAAAAACTACCAGGAATTGAGTAGAACAATACAGTGATGCTACTATTCCATACAATGTCTGTCTGATGAAAACTGTTTTGGCGATATACAGATACTTTCCAAGCTATGTGAAATCTCTGTCTTATTTAAAGACAGTAAAACCATAACTCGAAAATTACCTGATAAGAAAGCACACAAGAGAAAAATGTAATTAAAGCATAGACAGAACAGCTATTACAGAACAGAATAGTCTGTCTTACTATTTCATGGCTTCTCTATAACAGAGCACATTACTTAATCTCCTGGGCTAAGCACTACTGCTCAAATATAAGTCATGCAACAGGGAGGCACAAACCCACTGCAACATATTGTTATATTATTATATTGGTGGAGATGAGAGCACATCCTTGATGGTGCAAGAAGATTATCAGCCAAAGCTGTACAAATAATTTGAATGTCAGTGGACTGTTAAGGAAGACATGCGTGTTTCAGTTACACAGGCACACACACACAAGCAGCTTTCTCCAAGAAGATGAACTACAATGCTCTCAGGTGTATAGGATAAGATTTGAAAAGCTATCTGCAGTGTACCACTACCACAATTCACAGTTTCATATTTCTAATGATTTGATGAGAACTGACAATAGTTACGGGTCAGCAAAGACAAACAACAACACATTAGAAGAAACTCACCTTAAGTAGTTCATAATGCTGAATACCATTCACACCAATGTCTGGATCAATGGCAGATGGAACAGAATATCGGGAATTAATCGCTGTGTTTTCAGGGATAGAGATGTTAATAACTGTAGATGGGAAGAGGGGGGCATTGTCATTTATATCCTCTATTAGGAATCTGATCTTGACCAGTCTGAAGACTTCATCAGGCAAAACAGCAACCTCCACCTCATAAAAGCAGCGATTCTCACTAAAGATGCCAGAGCACAGCTTCTCTCGGTCTATGCGGTTTGCAGTTGTAAATATCTCACCAGTGTTCTCTTCCACTCGTACTAGTGGTACATCCCCAGTCTTATACACAAGCTTGAACTGTAGTGGCGAGGAAAGGGGGACATCTGGATTCAGTGTTAGATTAAGATCCTTGAGCAAATTGCCAATGAGGACATTTTCAGGCAGTTCTTCCCGCACTGTGTAGTTCTTCTCCTGTGCTCCAGATTGAAATACAATACAGGCTAATAAGACTGCCAAGAGGTAGGTTCCAGAAAGCAAGTCCATTTCCAAATTGACTAATGAAGGTTCATGCAGAACACCAGTAGCTGGAAAAAAAGTAAAAGAGAAAAAATTTTAAGAATATACAGAATATTGTGGTTTGTGAGTAGTGAAGGCATGAAAGGACTGCCTTTCCCACAGCAAACAAGCTGCAGTGATTGAAAAGCCATCTAATAAAATGGTATTTGACTCAACAGTCCTTCAGAAAACTCGTAAAATATCTTGCGTGTATTTTTACTTACAACTACTTACTTAACTTGAGGAAAGAATCCTGGAACTGAACCAGAGTTAACAAGCACAAATAACAACAAAGACAAATAATTATTTCTATATCCAGCTTCAGATTTTTCTTTCTTTTTGAAGAAAATCCTTTCCCTTGAACCCCCTGCCATCTGTCCTCAATTTTTGTCTCCAATAAAAGTATATGCAAGGAATTTGGAAGCAACCATCTGCTGGGAGCTTTTTATACCTTCTGCTTTGAGGTGGGAAACTAAGAACATGCGTTTACCTTGCCTCCCAGTTTTGGGCTGACAAAGTTATATATTTGTTGACCAAATTTATTTGCTCTTGTTTTTAATAAAGGAACTTAAACTAGCAAGAAAAACTAGCAGATAGTGCAGAGTTCTTCAGGCTAAAGACTTTCCAGCAAACAAATCGTAATACAGCACTCTCCAAGGAGAGAAGCTTTGATTTGGTCTTTGAAAAATAAACTGCTACTCAATTCAGTCAAATTTATGTTTGTTACCAAAACTCATGACAAGAGTGGACAAATTCCAACATAAAATAAGGAGAAGAGCAAAACACTGAAACTTTTCAATCTAGCACTAAAGCTAAAACATTTTTCCTAGCAGCAAGCATAAACTTGTAGCGGTCTCAGCCATCCAATAGCTCACCATGCCAGCAAGCAATCTCTACCTCGGACTCTTGCCATTAATCTCCAATACAGTGGGATGTATTGTCCTTTCTTTGATTAAAAAAAAAGAGAGAGAGAGAGAGAGAGAGACTGTGCAGGAAGGATTTCCCCTCTGAATTTAATGTATCTTCTGGAGAATCAATTGAAAGAAATTTAATGTAACTCTAAATCTGGTGAAGTCTACTTATACATCAGCAAAGCACTCTGAGACACCAACACCTTTAAAGTGAAACACAGGTTTGATTAGGGTTGAGTAAAAGAACATTATGTACTTTACATTCTAATTTCTGAATAACCATGTTTTCTCCTTTCAAGATCATTAGCAACTGAACTAAATTTACTGGACTGAAGAATGGAATGACTTATAGGCATATACAGATAAATACCTTCAGCTGACAACATTTAGAGAAAAACACTGTTTAGTTCCATGCATAGAATATGCTGCTTTGCCTAATCCTTACACCAATCTGCCTTCACAGAATGAAGGATAATCTTGAACACTATTTAAGTAAGATAACTTTCAAGAGTTCTGTCTGAATTTATTTTCGTAGTTAATGAAATTTCAGATCCTACCAGCTCAGTGTCTTTTTCAAATATAGCTTTATTTGCCTATTTATATCATTTTCACTGCTTAGGTTAAAACCATTAACTTTTTCCCTCTCTTTTCTGATGTTATTCTCTACTTTCCCTGTCATAATACAAAGTGATTTACAACTGTGGGTCAAGCTGCATTGGTTTAAGGAATTCCTGAAGCCAGTATTTATCTTCACCCTTTAGTTACTGCCTTTCAGCAGTATCACTTCCAAAGCAATTTAAATTAAAACATTTGACTTGGCAGTGAAACAGATTAGGAACACAAATTTAATTATTCCATTTCAACTCTGCAACCTGCTTTTCAGTGGGATTAAGTAGCAGATAAAGAAAGCAACTTCTAACATTCCAAGGTGTTATCTTTCTACATCAACATGATTTAACTGCAAAGCATTTTCTGGCTTTGTGATTACACGTAAGGAGCAACACGTAAGAAAAATCCAATTCTGCAAGTCCTCACTTATGAAAAAAGTCATTACCAACAAGAGTTATTCAATTAACCTGAACAAGATTACAGACATGGGTGAAAACTGGATATGCAATTTACGTGGCACAGGTACTGCATTACCTGCAGTATTCAGTAGTTCAACATCAGGCATAACACAACACTAAAAACGTATTCAAGAAAGAAGAAACAACATACTATAAACAGCCATTCTATAAATCCATTACAATATTGCTCATTTACATAAGCAGATACTGGTTATCATTGACAGTAACGCTACGGTAGCAGCATGAATTTAATGAAAGAATTGTGGTGAAACTGCACAAATATACCAAGCTAGTTAAAACAGTTCTAAGCTACGTTTGCTGTATTTGTCCCCAGCTCTCTAACAAACATCACACCTGCTAACGGAATTGCACACGTATACTCGAGCTGCAAAAGGACCTTGTTTCAGAAATCTACTTTTTGGCACACATGATTGTTTAAAAAAGAAATAAATTTACTTTGTTTTCACACAAAACAACAACAAAAACCTGTATGGGATACTGAGTTACAGATATGGAGCTGCAAGAGACTGTAATATGTAAGTAGGTTAGTCAGGAAACTGTGAAGTGGAACTTCCACTCCTTACATTACAACGTATATTTTTCCCCACTGTATTTTAGGATACAAATGTTGAATCGTGCCATTAAAGCTATTTTTGTTTTGGAAGAAATATAGTAAAACACTGAAACAGGAGAGCACTATTACTGTAACCATGACATAAATAGTAATGTCACTGTGTTTGTTATTCCCATACATTTTCCTGAGAAACAAAATGGTAAAGACATGAAGTACACAATGTTAAAGAGTTAAAACTCCTAGAAAACAAAACAAAACAAAACCCGCCTGGCCTTAAGACACGAATATATACACACACACATACATATAAAACCTAGTAATTCATAATTCTTAAAGTTTTGGAGAATGTACAACATTTTAATACTTTTTACCTGTCTTTCTAATCAGTTCTAGGAACAGTTTTGGACCCTTAAGAACTGTTCTACAGTTACAGCCCTTTAAAGTGGCAAAAAAAGTTTAGTCAACTTTTCAGTTTAGACATATGATGGAACATCTTATGCCATGGGAAGAGCGTTGTTCTTTAAGCAACCTATTTATATAGTCATAGCTGTATGTTGCCTGTCATTTATGTCATAGCACTGATGGGAATACTATGGCAACAGCAATGCAAAGAGAGGAGCAGCAGGTATTTGCTATCAACCAAGCACATTTCTGAAATACCTTTAAAAAAAAAATCAAAGTACTTCCAAAATTCTCAAATCTTAGAAGAAAAGGAAGGCAAAAGGAATTACAAATGGAGACAACAGAGCCACATAAAATGGGACATTAAATAAATTGTCAAAAGAGAGCATGTGAATGGTAACAGATGGTGGAAAAAGACATGAACTCAGAAAGACAGGCAAGATAAAAATACAAAAAGGAAAAAAAAAGGAACAGAGCAGAAAGTCAGTGACAGTACATGTGGGGAAACAGGTTCTCCTGATGACTGAAATATAGAGGCCAAGCAGAGCAGTCCAACTCTGAAGCACTTTCTGTAAGCTCCAACATTTACACTTCTAAGGTGAAAAAATAAGAAATAGAACTAAAAGAGGTAACGCTTAAAAACTGTTTAGTGGGAGCTAACCTTGAGCTTTCCAAGCTTTTTTCCTAGCTTTTAAAAGAATTCACTGTTGTCTCTGTATGCTGAATTCTGATGGAAAGCAGGAGGGGAAAAAATAATTACTAATCTACTCTAACATCTGAGCATCTATGTTCATAAATACAGCTGTTAGGCTGTTGTTGTTTTGTTCAATACACTAAATATTCATGTCATAATCTAAATATCATTATAGCAGCATCAAATCATACCTTGAGAAGTAATGAGAATATAAATATTACAGCTACCTCATGGAGTAAGACTTGAAAGTAGAACTAAACTCAACCTTTACACACAAGACTCTACCTGCTCCCTTCCAGTAAGGATTCCCAAAGCTTAATATAGGACTGGAATAATGGATGTTGCTGAGGAAAATCACAGATCGGTAGCAAACGCAGCAAACAGGCTGTAAAGGCAGCACTATTTCTTGATATCTAGGGTCAGATTTGATGAATAAATATGATCTGATGATACCTTGTAGCAACTACAAGTTTGTAGATAAATGCACCATAGATTGCTTTAGGAACATTACACTGAAATCCAAAACTCCTACAGTACCTAAATATTGAAAAATTATTATATTCACATTAATCACATAGACAAACTGCATTAGTATATTTGTTTTCAATATAACATTCCTTTCATTTGCTTCTAATCAACTTGGAACCCCTTAAATAGGCTCAATCAAATGGCTTTGTTAAAACAGTTTGTGCTCAAAGCACAACACCTGTAACACCAACTCTCTTTTTCAGACAGTTCCATGATTATAATGCTGTTTAACTAAAGGCTGAGCAATTTGTAAGTATTCCAGTTCACAAAGGCTCCCTCTGAATAAAAAAAGTTCCATGCTAGTCAGTTTTTGAATCTTGTTTGATGTTGGTATGGATTACAACTTTATTTGGTAAACCTTAGCTGCTGGATTGCTAGGAATGCTATTTTTGCCATAAGTTACCAATATAACTGATTAGGAAACACCTACCTTCCTCATCACACATATCATGCTGTGTTTAAAAAACTCACTGATTTTTATGACAGGTAGCAGCCCTTATTTTATTTCTTATCATCTTTGATGACAAGAAAAAAATAACATAAAGCTTTAGCCTGACAAGAATTCCCCTCTTCTTTATAAGCCAAGATAATGATAAACAAACGGTAACAAACATCCTTAACTTTCTTTCATGCTCCAAATTGAAAGAGAAATTATTTTCCAGCCCTTACTATTTACCCACATAATACACTCCCCACATAATACATTTTGTGATCATATTCAAAGAGTGAAACCTACCTCACAGAGAAATAGACAGTTTGTTATATTCTCAGGGCTTTCCAATTCATTCCCTCATATGATTTTACTCTAAACCTGCTATGGGACTGATTTATTCTTTGATCTATCTTTTATTAG